TAAAAACCTTAAAAATTAATGAGTGAATTTCATTGATGATGGATGAGGAAGGATACCGATGAAATTATATTTTGAAGTATTTAATATTATATTCACACAAATAATTCTCCATTTATGGTTCCAAATAATTAAACTTTAATTTGTATCTCCCTTTCATTTATCTTGCACTATATTTTTGTCTCCTTGTAATGACATTTTCTTACAATTAGTTAACGTTCAGGATTTGTTAATCATATCCATCATGCCTTGATTCTTACTAGTGACTTTCGTTGAATTAGCATCTGCAGAAATAATCGTCCTGTATGGGAAAGCCAAATATGACAAGGTGTAATACTTCCGGAATTGGGTCGGTGCTAGGCCAATTTCTATGGATGAGTCGGTGTCAGGTCATCCGAGATTGAATAGTAATTAAAATGGATTGAATATACTAGTCATGTCAACAATATGCACATTCCTTTTCGAGAACCCTACTTAAAGAACTTTAGAGTTAAGCGTGTTTGCCCTATAGTAAAATGAGGATGAGTGATCCCCTAGGAATCTCCTATGGTGTGCGTGAGTGAGGAGAGAAGTGTGACACACCCGATCTTGCATGGCTTGTGGGCTGGGGTGTCACAGTTTCTATCAGAGCTGACCTACGACAGCCCACCGTCGTTGACCGAACTATTGCCATGTGATACCTCCGGAGTTGGGCCTTCCCTTGGCCAACTCCTGTATGTGGATGAGCCAGTATTAGACCATCCAAAGTTGATTAGTAATTAAATGGATTGAATAGACTACTCATGTCAACAATGTGCACATTCCTTTTCGAAAGCCCTATTGAAAGAACTCTAGAGTTAAGCGTGCTTGCCCTAGAGTAATTTGAGAACGGACAACCCCGTGGGAAATCTCCCAAGGTGCACGTGAGTGAGGATAGAAGCGCGCCGGAAGGACTCGTGTTGACCTGTGGGGCCAATCTACGATCCCGACAAGCACGGCTTCGTATGGCAGGGTGCATAGTTGGTATCAGAGCCGACCTGCGACAGCCCACAGTCGTTGACCTGACTGTTGAGGGGCCTAGCAATTGACGATCATGAGTGAGGATAGAAGCATGCTGGAATGACTCGTGTTGACCTATTGGGCCAGTCTACGATCCCGACATGCTCGCCTTCATATGACTTGCGGGTCGGGGTGTCCCAGTTGGTATCAGAGCCGACCTGGGACAACCCACAGTCATTGACCTAACTATTCAGGGGCCTAGCAATTGACGATCGTGAGTGAGGACAAAAGCGCGCTGGAAGGACTCGCGTTGAGTTATGGCGCAAGTCTACAATCCTAACATGCTCGGCTTCGCGTGCCTTGCGGGTCGGGGTGTCACAGTTGGTATGAGAGCCGACCTGCGACAACCCACAGTCGTTGACCTGACTATTGAGGGGCCTAGCAGTTGACGATCCTTAGAGTGCAACATGAATGTTGCATTCTAAAGTAGCGGAGGATGTGATACCATTGGAGTTGAGCCGTTGCTTGGCTAACTCCCGTGTGTGGATAAACTGATATCAGGCCATCCAAAGTTGATTAGCAATTAAAGAGATTGAATAAACTACTCATGTCAACAATGTGCAAATTTTAATTCACATTAATAAAATAAATAAATAAATTAGGTTGTGTTCATTTTATGGATAATTTACGTCAATTTAGGATGTCTTCAAATTAATATAGTTAATCCAGCCATACTTCTTTATGCCTTCAAATAAATCCAACAATATCCAACAAATGAGAAATAATACACAACAAAACCAACAAATGAGAAGTAGCATGCCTCAATTCCAACAAATGGAAAACAATAAAACTCAGGACTCAAATTTAATTACAACATAACCCAATGGCCAGAAAAGCAAAATAGATCAATTTCAGCAATTCATAACCCATATAAACAAACACACATTTGATCAAATACAACAATAATCACTCAGATCTTTTGAGAAAAAAATGCACAGAAACCCTACTTTTAAGCACATAGCTGATATTAAAATCCAGGTGGTTGGGAGGGGACCGATTTACAATTGAATAGATCCATAGAGCTCCTATTTGAAATGGACGGTATCCGTTCTCCGGATAAAAATAAAACGATAACCCACAAAATATGAGTTTATGTTGGTTTCTGGCGATGGTAGACCTTAAAAAACCGACGCCGTTGCACCACAACATTCATTCCATCCTCCAAGAAGCTTTCTTGTTTAACAGGAACGAGTTCGGCCTCTGTTACAGGTCTGGAGACATCCATTCTCTCCTCGGAGATACCTCTCATCGGTTTGCTAAATCTTAAACCATTGAGATAGAAATATTAAACTAAAGAAACGTTGAAAACCATATGACATGAAATTTATATTGATTTTTCTCGAATGTAGTCAAAACCAATAAAGATAAAATGACGGAGAGAAAATAGTAATAAACACATCCAAACAGTGTGTCAACTCCGTTCAGTCATAAATGCAATAATTTAGAATATTATAAAAAAGTGAATATAAAGAAAATAGTAAAATAAAGAAAGCAATCACTTATACCAGGCGGCGGGCTTATACGGTCTTTTGACGGGTAGCTAGCACTAGCATATGAAGCGGGATGCATTCCCCCTTCCAAGCAACTTTCTTGTTTCACTGGCACAAATGGGATTACGAGTCTGGAGGCATCCATTCTTTCCATGGAGATACCTCCCATTGGCTTGGTAAATCCTAAACTATTAAAATGGAAAGTTAAACTAAAGAAATATTGAAAACTATATCACGTGTAATTTACATTGATTTTTCTTGAATGTAGTCAAAACTAATAAAAATAGCAAGAAGGAAAGCAAGTAGTAATAAAAATATCTAGATAATAAGTCAACTCCCTTCCGTTACAAATGCAAGAATTTAGAATGTTTTAAAATATCATATGTAAAGAAAATAATGAAATAAAGAAAACAAATATTGTACCAGGCGGTGGGCTTATACGGTCCTTTGATGGAACGCTGGCACTAGCGGATGGGGTTGCATTAATTCCCTCTTGTAGGCAACTTTCTCATTTAACGGACACAAACTCTACCTTTGTTGGGATTACAAGTCCGGAGGCATCCATTCTCTCTTTCGAGATACCTCCCACCAGCTTGCTAAATCCTAAACAATATTTAAAATCATACAACGTGTAATTTATATAATTTTTTCTCGAATGTAGTTAATACCAATAAGATAATAAGACGGATAGAAAATAGGAATAAAGATACCTAGACAATGTATCAACTCTGTTCAATTACAAATGCAAGAATTTAGAATGTTTCAAAAGATTGGATGTAATAAATAGTGAATAAAGAAAGCAAATACAACACCAAGCAGGGGGCTAATAGGGTCCTTTGATGAGTGGCTAGCATATGCATGCGGGGTTGCATCCATTTCCTCTTCCAAATAATTTTCTTGTTTTAGATGGACAAGTTCTACCGTCGTTAGGATTACTTGTCCGGAGACATCAAGTCTCTCCTTGGCAATACCTCCCATCGGCTTGCCAAACCCTAAACTATTGGGATGGAATATTAAACTAAAGAAATATTGAAAGCCATATGATATGCAATTTATATTATTTCTCTCAAATGTAGTTAAAACTAATAACATAGCAAATAGTAGTAAAAATATCTAGAAAGTGTGTCAACTCCGTTCATTTACAAATGCAAGAATTTAAAATTCTATCAAAGATCAAATATACAGGAAACAAATAAAGCAAAAAGTATACCAGGTGGTGCCATCATTGGGATAGTAGGCATCCGTTTCCTTCCTATGATTAAAGGGCTCTTTCTTTCTCTTTTCCTTTTCCATATCCTTTCTAGTTTACTGTATCTAACAAATTATAACATTAATATAAAATTGGCTTTGATTGATGCCATGGCATAAAATAAACTCCATATGCAACTTCATAAGGTATAATTTGCAAAACTATAATTGTTAAGGAAAATAATATACATGCAAATAGCTATAATATTCATGTTTCAAGACCAAACTCTTAATAGATTGTTTGCACATTCATATTTTAGAGACCAACCAATACTACTCATGAGAACACACGAAAATAAACACTAGCCTATTCACTAAAGCAACTAAACAAATGTAATAAATAGGACAATATTTACGAAAATAAAATACCATTAAATCTATTGTCAATGTTAGGAAACCAGAGGAAATAAGTAGGAAGGTAGAAGTTATCTCACCATTATGGATATCGGAAATAGAGACTCTTTTTCTTTGAGGCATCCCCATGGCTGCAGTTTGAGGAGCTGATCCAATTTCAGAAACCTCCTCAACCCCAACATTATAGCAATTGTGATTGTTCAGCTATCGGACAAGAAGTTCTTTCACAGCCACTTGGATCACATATTTGGACAGAGATTGCCTCTCTCCTACATAGTTAAATATCAAGGAACACCCCGCTTCAAGACACTACTAGAATATGACCTATTTATAGCAGGTTTGTCATACGTAACAATAGCTCCGAAACAGCTAATGATTTTTGTAACGAAATATGTCGTGACAAAAGATTTTTTACTTGTGATCAATGTTTTATTTTTTTGTTACGATAATTTATTCGTAACAAATACAAAAATATTACAATATGGTGTTCTATATGTGTTTGGTGCGTTTGTCATTCGAAAAAAAAGTTCAAAGAAAATATTTTTAATAAAAATATAAAAAATTAATATAAAAATATTCTTCCTATTAAAAAAATATCCCAAATTAGAAATAAAAAAAATATATCAAAAAATATATTAAAATGTAAAAATAGACTCTAAATTTATGTATGTATATATATTTAAAACAAAATCAAATTTGTAAAGCATTAAATAATCACCATTTCATCTTTTATTCCAATATTATAATTATAAAAAAAATTTATATTAAAATTAAACTGAAAAAGCGTTACAGGCTTTTCACACATATATATATATTATATTATATTATATTATATAGATTATAGCCCTCTCCCTCAGTCAGCCTCTAGTTCCAACACTTCGTCGATTTCGGGTTCATCTCTGCCCGCTCCGATCTTCCCTGCGACCCACCATGAATCTCCGTCTCTGAGCCGCCCGATGCCAAGGGAACTCTGGCAGACAGAAGAAGAACAGCAACATCATGCGCTGGCTAAAGAAAAGTGAAGGTATTTTAACAATTTATAGCTATGTTAAATTGATTTAGGTTACTTGAAATGCGTATTTTCTACCGTACTCCGAGTCAAATTGGAACTTCTTGTCATCGGTTTTGGGTGATTGCAGTGTAGTGAGGATTACAAACTCGATTTTCATTGGTGGAATTGCACTCTATTCTGTTCGTCTTTCTATTCTCTCATCTGTTACGGTTTGGATCCCCGACTTGTTTTGTGTGATAGTTTAATATTTTTTGCATTTATTTGTGTTTTTTCATTGTGCAATGGAACGTCGTTTTTATGAAGCAATGATTCTAGGTTGAGCAAAAATGCAATAATAGATTTTAGGTTGAGAAATTTTTCAGATTTAGATATGTATATTTTTTTATAAGTAGGTAGACTTAAATCAATTGCCTTGTTCTATAGATTGATCCCATACTAAGAGAGCCGGCCTTGGTTTGGCATAGCATGCACCATCATTTTGATATTGTGAATTTAAAGTGCAATCATATGCTAAAGTAAAGTTCATTTACGAGATTAATTAGTTTTATCACACTAAATTCTTTTTTGTTACAATGTGCATACATATATATATGACTATAAAAGAAATTATAGTATCTTTGATTTCACAAGTTGTCTCTATATATATTAATCCTCTAAAATTTTCATGCACGTGTTTCAAAATGGCTCCAAGAATTTCCAAGAAACTATGTTTCCACCTCTCCCTCGTGATTTACTTGAAGTGCTATCACTGTGTCTTCTTGATATAGCTGAAGCTTTTTTTAAAGTTCCTATCCATTATAGTAAATTTAAAATGATGTTGTAGTATTCTTTATCTGACTGGTGTGTTGATATAATCAAAATCAATACCTACGGTATTGCCCTTGGGAATTCAGAGGCTTGACTTACATGGCAAATCTTTTTTTATTAAGTTGATGGTATAATTAAGATTGTGGCACTCAGGGAGTCAGTAACGGATTCTTGGAGAACTTGCTCAACTCATTTATTGTTAGCTGGTTACGAAAGTTATTTGCTGCCAACATGACCCATATTTTCAAAATGACATTCATGATATTTCTATTTTTGTTTGTTTATGCTTATCTATTGAATTAATTCATTTTCCACTGGCAATATCTATTTGCTTATATAACCTCTAAAGTACACCTACTTTCTATGCTTATTAATTGTTTGTAATGCAAGCAATGGCGCAACCAATATTATGGTATTTTAATGGTTCTTATATAACCTCTAAAGTACACCTACTTTCTATGTTTATTAATTTCTTGTAATGCAAGCAATGGTGCAACCAATATTATGGTATTTTAATGATTCACACATAATGATTTTTTTGTCTATAGATTTTTGGCACGTCCAGTGGGACAACTCTACCTTTCATCTCTCTTTCCGTTGAATTCTCAACGACCAATGGCTTTCTACAGGATCAAGACTTTCAACGTTGTGTCGAAAGTTGATGCTCTAGCCGCCGCCAAAGGAGTCGCTGCTACTACATTAAGAACCTCAAGTGCTTCAACGAATGCTGGAGTGATGACACGAAGTATGGATAAAAGAGTACTGTTATTTTCCGAGGACACACATCCAAAAATCACAGAGCAAAACCCACTCTATGAGGATGACGAAAGCTTCAAGAGTACCTCGCACCGGTCACCCCTCAAGAAGTTGCAACTCGTTCAACTGCATCAAGTTATGCCCCGGTGATGACCACGAACGCTTCAAATATAGAAGACCAACTCGTTGCACTGGCCAAAGTCGTTGAAGGGATATCTCAACATATGCTACAACAAGACAATGTCATCGCAAAGCTCCTTGCAAAACTAGACAAGCCAAAACCAACCAGCCATAATGCTCCAGAGGCCCAAGACGAAGCAGAAGCATCCACGGATCAACGTCATGGTAAAGAAAAAATGGTGGGACCAATGCCATTTCAAACATCATCCGACTCCTTCATCCATCTATCCCAACTTGACGAGTATATTAAAGGAGCTCTCAAAAGGGAGTTTGAAGGAAGTTCAAAGCCAAAAAATATTTATGCCAAGCCTTATACTTCAAGGATCGACACCCTCAAGATGCCGTTGGGATATCAACCGCCGAAGTTCCAACAATTTGATGGCAAAGGCAAACCAAAGCAGCATGTGGCACACTTCATGGAAACATGCAACAACGGTGGGACATATGGCGATCTCTTGGTGAATCAGTTCGTACGGTCATTAAAAGGCAACGGCTTCGACTGGTACATCAAGTTGGAGGTTGGTTCCATCGACAGTTGGGAGCAGTTGGAGTACGAGTTCTTGAACCGGTTCTACAGCACGAAAAGAACCGTCAGTATGACAGAACTCACCAATACTCGTCAATGGAAAGATGAACCAACAATCGACTACATAAACCGCTGGAGAAGTCTTAGCTTGAACTGCAAAAACCGGTTGTCCGAGGCCTCCGGTATAGAGATGTGCGTCCAAGGAATGCAATGGGGGTTGAAATGTATCCTGCAAGGGATCCGAACCCGCACTTTCGAAGAACTTGCTACCCGCGCTAATGACTTGGAGTTAAGTATAGCTTCAAGTGGGATGTACGGACCACCAGTTCAAGAATCTTCAAAAGCAAAAAGATACGAAAGATATGATGCCGCAAAGAAGGGGAACAACGCCCCTATAAAGTCTTTCGGAAAAGAAGCCTTGGCCATAAAAGCGAACGACCAAAGCACCAGTGAAGATCCAAAGTAGAGAAAAGGAAGTTGTAAGGAAAAGACAGTCAACTCAGATAGACAGACCTCCAAGGCCCACCCTTAAAGAGTTGCAATCCAAAACTTATCCTTTCTTGGATTCTGACGTCTCGGGCATCTTTGACGATCTACTCATAGAAAACCTCATTGAACTTCGAAATTCAAAAAGACCGGAGGAAGCTGGAAAGGTTGATGACCCAAAATACTGCAAATACCATCGTGTCGTAGGACATCCCATCCATAACTACTTCATCTTTAAAGACAAAGTCATGGAGTTGGTTCATTAAGGAAAACTCACCCTTGAAGACGATTCTGCTGCTGTTAATGTCACTTCAATCATGTTCGGGTCTCTCGAAGTTGAGATAAAAGACGAAGAATCATATTGCCTCACTACCGAGAAAGAAGGTGAGGCGACCAGAGACAAATCAAGTGAAGAATGTGCCACGATAACTTTCACTGATGAAGATTTGATGTTAGGATCCAAACCCCATAATCGTCCATTACTGGTCGTGGGTTATATCCATGAGTAAAGGATTAGCTGGATATTCTTAGACGGAGGAGCCGCAGTCAACGTCCTTCCTCTATACACATTGCAAAAATTGGGAATACCAGTAGATCAATTGTTCGAGAGTCGTATGACAATACATAGATACAATCAAGAGGGGCAAAGAGCACTTGGCACCATAAGATTGAGACTGTTAATCGATGAAATGAAACTAACCCTTTGTTCTACATCATAGATGCAAAGAATCTTTCAATGTTCTTTTGGGAAGACCATGGATACATGAGAATGGTGTAGTTCCACCAACGTGGCACCAATGCTTCAAATACACTCAAAATGGAGTGACAAAGAAAGTTCTCGGAGACACAAAGCCATATACAGAAGCCGAGTCACACTTTACGGATGCCAAATATTTCTCTACAGAAGCAAAAGAATCCAAAGTACATGAAGATGTCAAATCACCACAACCAAACTTGGGGGCAAAGTCAAGAGATAAAAAAAAACACCCACCTCAAGTTCTGCAGACTCATTAATTGAACCTCTGAAAGATTTAACTCTTCCAAAGACCCCACTAAACCCAATCTTCCCCTCACAGACAAAGAACGGAAAAGAAGAAAAAATAGAGGCTATGTGGTTGCAAAAGGACAAAAGCTTTGGCCCAAAAGCCTACAAACTTCTCATAAAAGCTGGATATAATCCAAATGATGAGTCACTGCTGGGAAAGTTACCACCACAGACAACCCAAGGTTCGAGGGCTGGTCTTGGATACATGCTACAAACTCCCGTACGCATCGCTATCAAAAGGGCCACAAACCATGATATCACCGAGAGCGAGAGCTTGTCTTTCAATTCACCTGAAAAGGGTAAGAATACAAGAGTATCGGTCTTCAAGAGGCTAAAACTTTCTGTCTTCACAAGGTTAGGACCAAAGATCAATAAACAGAATAACAAGACAAATTCCACAACAGCGAAATATGTGGAGATGGATGAAGAAATCAAAAGCCATTTTCCATCCCGCATGACGCACCAAACAAAAATGACGATACATTACGGTAAAGTTTTAAAGGCTAAATGGCAAACCATTGTCTTCACCAAACCCAAAGAAGATAATGAAGAAAGTGTTGCATCATCCTACTACATCACTGAAGGGGGTTAAGAGACAATGATTGAAGAAGATGCAGGAAATGCACCCGCCACGCTTGAAGAAGGGGTCAAAGCTGCAGTGGATGAGTTAGAAGAAATCAACTTGGGAATTGAAGATCACCCAAGACCCATCTATGTCAACAAAGAGCTGGGTGAGGATGATATGAATGCCTACACACGACTTCTTAACGAGTTCCAAGATGTCTTCGCTTGGTCATATAAAGAAATGCCTGGTTTAGACCCAAAAGTTGTGGTCCATCATCTAGGTGTGAGGAAGGGAGCTCGCTCTATGAAGCAAGCGCATCGAAGATTCCGTCATGAACTTATCCCTCAAATTGAAAATGAAGTCAATAAACTCATTGAAGTGGGATTCATCCGTGAAGTCAAATACCCCCAATGGATTTCTAACATTGTGCCTATAAAGAAGAAGAACGGACAAATCCAGTTTTGTGTGGATTTCCGGGACCTAAATGAAGCATGCCCAGAAGATGATTTCCTTTACCCATAACTGAATTGATGATTGATGCAATGACAGGACATGAAGCGCTTTCTTTCATGGCCCCTGAAGACGATGAGTTAACCGCCTTTCGTACACCGAAAGGTATCTACTGTTACAAAGTTATGCCTTTCGGATTGAAAAATGCGGGGGCAACCTACCAAAGAGCAATGCAAAAGATCTTTGATGACATGCTACACAAAAATGTAGAACACTATGTCGATAACTTGGTTGTCAAGACCAAGAGAAAAGAGAATCACCTGTAGGGCTTAAGAAAGGTTTTTGAAAGGTTGAGGCGCTACCAACTAAAAATGAATCCTCTCAAGTGCGCTTTTAGAGTAACCTTCGGCAAATTCCTCGGATTCATTGTCCATAGTCGTGGAATTGAGATTGAACAGGCAAAGATAGACGCAATCACAAAAATTCCTGAGCCTCGCAACATCCACGAGCTAAAAATCTTACAAGGAAAATTAGCATATATAAGAAGATTCATCTCTAACCTCGCTGGACGATGTCAACCTTTCAGCCGAATCATGAAGAAATGAGTGCCTTTCCATTGGGATGAAGCATGCAAGAAGGCATTCCAAAGTATCAAAGACTACTTGACGAAACCACCAGTGTTGACAACGCCAATTCCTGGACATCCGTTGACACTTTACATTGCTGCACAAGAACGTTCAGTCGGAGCCTTGTTAGCACAGGAAGCCAATAAAGGGAAAGAAAATGCCCTCTACTACCTCACTAGAATGATGACACCAAATGAACTAAATTATTCACCGGTGAAAAAGATATGCTTGGCGCTCATCTTTGCCATAAAAAAGTTGAAGCATTACTTCCAAGCGCACACTATCCGGCTGGTGTCCAAAGCAAATCCCTTAAAATATGTCATGTCAAAACCTGTCCTTTCTGATCGACTCGCAAGATGGTACCTGCAGTTGCAACAATTTGAAATCATTTATGTACCACAGAAAGCTGTAAAATGACAAATATTGGTTGACTTCCTTGCTGATCATCCCATCCCCACTGAGTGGGAGTTGTCTGACGACTTCCCTGACGAAGATGCATTTTTTGTCAAAATCACCCCACCGTAGAAAATGTATTTTGACTGCTCATCACACAAAAATGGAGTTGGAGCCGTAGTAATTTTTGTCACATCACAAGGAGAAGTCCTTCCATACTCTTTTGCCTTAAAAGAAAAGTGTTCAAATAATGTGGTTGAGTATCAAGCACTCATCCTCGGCCTAAAAATGGCGCTAGACATCAAGCAACGCCAATTTCAAGTATACGGGGACTCCAAGCTGGTTGTAAATAAAATCATTGGAGAGTTTGAAGTGAAGAAACCAGAACTGATGCCTTACTTAAAGTATGCTAAGACACTCATTGAGTTGCTCGGGGATGTCTCTATTGAATATGTCCCGAGGAAAAGGAACGGGCAAGCTGACGCTCTGGCTAAACTGGCATCGACTCTATCCATCCCGGATCAACAAGTGTATATTCCGATACGCAAAGTTTGAGTTGATTCCTGCAAGTATGAAGAAGAAGAATGTTTTGATAAAAAAGTAAATCACCTCATCGAGGTGTTTGAAATTGAAGAAGAAGAAAAAGAATGGCGGCAACCAATATTAGATTTCTTAAAATATGACAAGCTCCCGAGTGACCCGCGCAGAAGAACAGATATCCGAAGAAGAGCTGCACGCTATGCCTACTTCAACGACATACTCTATCATTGGTCGTTCGACAACATGTTCCTTCGATGCCTTGGCAATCATCAAGCCAAACAAGCTATGGAGGAAACTCATGCCGGAATCTATGGAGCTCATCAAGTTGGCCCAAAGTTACACTTCCGAATAAAAAGGATGGGGTATTATTGCCCAACCATGTTTAAAGACTGTATAGAGTTTGCACGGAGATGCCAACCGTATCAATTTCATGCTAACTTTATCAATCAACCACCGGAACCATTGCACCCAACTATTGCTTCATGGTCATTCGATACCTGGGGCATAGACGTCGTAGGACCACTCACAAAGTCGTCCGTTGGACATCTCTATATTTTGGCCGCAACAGACTACTTCTCCAAATGGGCAGAAGCAGTTCCTTTGAAAGAAGTCAAAAAGGAGACGGTAGTTGACTTCATACGAGTCAGCATCATTTACCGTTATGGGGTTCCTCGGTGTATCATCACTGATAATGGAAGATCTTTCTCCAATACTTACATCGACGAAATTTGCGAAAAGTTTGGTTTCGAAAAAAGAAGTCCTCGATGTATTATGCACCGGAAAATGAACTCGCAGAGGCATTCAACAAAACACTTTGTAACTTGCTGAAAAAGGTTGTCTCCAAATCAAAAAGAGATTGGCATGAACGCATTGGTGAAGCTTTGTGGGCCTATCGTAATACATTCCGCACTCCAACACAAGCGACACCATACTCACTTGTATGTGGGGTCGAAGCTGTCTTTCCATTGGAAAGACAAATTCCTTCACTAAGGATTGCTCTTCAGGAAGAATTGACGACCAAAGAAAATGTCATATTAAGACTCGAAGAGCCAGAGGCTCTCGACAAGAAAATACTACAAGCTCAACAAGACTGGAGTGTTATCAAGCACGATTGTCTCGAGCTTACAATAAAAAAGTCAAATCACGATCCTTTCAAATCGGGGACTTGGTTCTTGCTGTGAGAAGGCCCATTGTGATCAACTTTCGTTCGGGAAATAAATTTTTATCCAAGTGGGATGGACCCTATGTCGTCACTCAGGTCTACACAAATGGTGCATACAAGTTGACATCTCAAGACGGACTCCGGATAGGGCCAATCAACGGGAGGTTCCTCAAAAGATATTATGCGTGAGACCTTCAAATCAAATCAAAACTCCTTAGCATGAGAATAAACTGCAAAATAATAATAAAAGAAAATTCAAGTTGCTTTGAACTACGTTATGACTTGATCCCTTTACCGGGTACGTAGGCAGCTTGAGATATACCTTCAAGTTCAGTCAAATAAATAAAATAATAATAATAATAATAAAGGATTTGGGTAAAAAAAAAAGGAATGCCCGAGAAGAAAAATAAAAAATAATAAAAAAAAGAAGATAGAATTTAAATTTATTGATTGGCAATCAAAATGAAGAATACAAATTGATCTTAAACATTAAGATTATACAACTCTTCTTTGCTAATATCCAACAACTCTTCTAAGCTTTTTCAGTATTCTTCGTCTTGCGTGGGGACATTCTCTACGGCGGTGAGTTCATCCTTGACTTCAGCAATTTGAATGATGATATTCTCATTAACTCCTTGACGTCGCTTAATAAGGGAAACATTCTCTCTTTTTTGCTCTTGTAAAAAGTGAAGCTTCACGTCAATATTCTCCACACACCCCTCTAACTCCTTGATAGCTTTTCACTCCTCAATATGCCTCGTCTCAAGGTGCGACAAGCGATCTTTGATCTCGGAAATCTGTTGGTCACTGGCCACCAAGGATACGGCATCAATCGAGTCAGAACATGCCTCGTCAAAAGATGCAGCGTTATCAAAAAGGGCCTTGACTCGGTCTTCAATATAAGAAATGTCAGAGTACTTAAATTTTTTCATTGATTGGAGCACTACATCAACCTCGTCCTTAATCGAGGAAAGCAAACGAGCTGGTGTCCTCAAAAGCTTGCCCCGAAGATCCGACCATACTTTTCCTATATATTCACGCTAGATCGCCTTCACAAAATCCGCGCCACAAAATTCTGAAACCGCGGGCACAACGGACTGAACAACCACGGGCTTGGTTGGAGCATCTTTTACTTGCTCATTGCAAACACCTCTGTTTTCTCCAATCACCTCAACAGTGGAATCTCG